TCTTTTAAACTGGAAGATGGAAGAAGAACAAGTAAAAGAAACAATGATAGTGTGGGCAAAAAAATTTGTATATTCTTTTTTTTAAAAAAAAAATTTACAAAATAAGAAAAAACAACCCTCCCCAACCCACCCCAACCCTCCCACTCCCTCCCTCAACTTTCCCAGAGCTGAATATAGGCTTAATTAAATTTTCTTGAATTCTTAAAGAAAAGAAAAAATATAAACCATAGATAAGTCTAAATACGTTACTTAAACTACTAATAGAATAATTAACAATAATATATATATATATATAAAAGACATAAATATTAAAGAAAAAAATACTTAAAAAAAAGAATAAAGAGAAAGAAAGAAAAAAATATAAAAAAGTAAAATAATAATAAAACATATAAAGAAAAAAAATAATACAATCTATAAAATATTAAAATTTGTATATAAATTATTGATAAACTAAGTAATATTTTTTATATCCAACTTATGTTGTATAAAATCTATCCATTTTTCCCATACCACAAAAAACTTCTCTTGCGATTGATCCTTTAAAAAAGCTGAAATCTTTGCCATTTCCGCCAGATAGGATACTTTAAAAAACCACTCTTGCAAAATAGGCAAAGATTCCTTCTTCCAGTATTGCCCTACTAACAACCTTGCGGCTGTAATTAAATTTAACATCAATATAACCTCCTTAGTATCACAATCGGTAACTATACCTAGCAAAAACAATTGTGGGGTAAATTTTACCCTCCTTCTAAAAATTCTTTGAATATTCCACCATATCTTAATCCAAAAGGCTTTTATATTTTTACACGACCACCAAATATGGTAATAAGTAGCATCCAAACAACCACATCTCCAACATTTGGGCTGTAAGTCGGGATACATACGAGACATTTTTTGTGGATCAAGGTGCCATCTATAAAACATTTTATAAAAATTCTCCCTTAAGCTCTGGGCTTGTGTAAATTTAACATTTCTCACCCAGATGATTTCCCAGGTATCTAGTAGAACTGGTTCACCAAAATTTTGTGCCCATTTAATCAAAAATTTGGATATTCTATAGACTTAGAAGATTGACAAAAGCTTTGGGATAGAAATATTAAACTTACTAAAGCAGCTTCACACAAAGAGAATTTATATAAAATGTTTTATAGATGGCATATGACACCAGTTAGACTAGCGAAAATGTTTAAAAATGTATCAAATATTTGCTGGAAATGTAAACAAAAACCAGGTACTTATTATCATGCCTGGTGGATATGTCCTAATGCAAAGAAATTTTGGTTTAAGATTCACTTATGGCTGGAAAAAATGACTAAAATACAGATAGAATTTAAGCCAGAACTGTTTTGATAGGAATATTAGGACTTAATTATGGAAAAGAGAATGAATATTTAATATTACATGTATTGACAGCTGCGAGAATAGCATTTGCCCAATTTTGGAAAAACAAAAATCTACCATCTGACCAGATTATAATCACAAAAATCTTAGAATGTGCAGAAATGGATAGATTAGAGATTAAAGAGAAAGAAGATTCATGGGAAAAATTTTATCAATGGTTAGCAATGTGATAGAAGGGGCGTTGTCTTACCTGAACGGAGATGGAGAATTCACCAATGGGTTTAGACTGTATTCCTGCCCAATCAGATCAAGTCAGCCAAAGTTGCCACGCCCATCCTGGACCATAGAGATTCCAGTCTTTGACTTGATCTTGCCCAGGACAGACGTGAAAGTTTGGCTCTTAGGCAGGTACACTCTCCATTGGTGGATTTTTTTCCAGTTGCTGAACTGTGCTTTGATCAGTAATAGAATTTGGCTTCCCTATTATAAATTAATCCATTCAGGATCATCATAAAATTCCAAATTTCCAATAAATTACTCAGAAAGGGGGGGGGGAGAGAAACTGAAAGTATAGGAGGGATCTCCATATTTTCTTTCTCCTCTGCTTCCAACCCTGTTCAATTTCCCTCATCAGAGTCCCTAGAGCAGTGGTTCTCAACCTTTCTAATGCCGCGACCCCATATTATAGTTCCCCATGTTGTGGTGACCCCAAACCACTTATACATCACCGGGTGCCAGGGGCGTGGCCAAAGAAAAGGGGAAAAAATGGCGGACAGCCTTGTTTGGCGACCCCTGTGAAATGGTCGTTCGACCCCAAATGGGGTCCCGACCCACAGGTTGAGAACCACTGCCCTAGAGTATTTGAGACACAGACAAAATAGCAGCTACTATTTTCCCCAACCGGTCTCAGCTCGGTGTTCCTCTTTATCGGAGCTTGCGGCTGCAGCTCCGGTGATTCCTCGGGCAGTAAGTGGGGGGAGACTCCTCGTCCTCTTCTGACACGATTGGGAAGCTTTAAAAATTTCTTTGGAGGTTGCGGCTGCAACTCCGAAGATTCCTTCTGCTGGGGTTTTCCCTCTGTTTGCCCCTGTAGCTCAGGCTTGCTCCACTGGTTCCCAGGTGGTAAGCATGTATGCGCGCTACTTCGCTACCGCCGATCAGCTGATAGGCGGCATAGGAAGGGGGGAAGCTTTCAGCTGAGCTTGTTTCTGGTCGGGAGACAGATTTAAAGAAAAAGGGATCTCTCTCGCTCAGCAGTCTTCTCTCCCGGAGCTCCCTGGAACAAGGCAGATGCGGCCATTGGTTTCGCATTGGCGGCCACCATCTTGGACCACGTGGTCCCGGACTTCAGAAAGTTCCATTCATTGCGTTTGAAGGAAGGGGCTCCTTCCTCATCAAAACGTTGATTAGTCCCCACGAAGGGGATTATTTTGGGACAGGCAAAATTGGGTGGGCAGTTTCTAGGTAGTACTGCAGATCCACCATCACAGTCATTTAGGGGAATGGCCGCCATCTTGTTTATGCAATCAGTTTCACTTTACATTAACTCCCAACAATCCTTGGTGCTCGTTGTTGAGCTCTAATTGGATTTTCACTACAATTGTTTAATATTAAGATCTAGTAGGTTGCTGTTATAGAGAATACACAACAACCCAGACTCATTCCTTGGTTCACCACCTCTATTAGCTTTTTGCATACTTGGTGTCTCCTGGCCCTGTCCTGCTAGCACTGACTCATTGGATTTGAAATTTCTAATTCTATAACAATTTTTCCTTGTGTTCCAGGCGTACCCCATCGTGCGCCTGCTCTTACCCACAAAAGCCCTTTCTGGATTCCAGGCGTCCCCCATCATACGTCTGTTCTTCGGCTCCCAGGATCTTTAACGAAATCCTGGTGGTACTAGCAGCTCATTTACGAATGATACCAGTCAGAGTGCAATGTTACTTGGACATATTAATCCAGTCATCGTCCATCCAGTCCGCAAAGGCGGACCTCAAACTGGTGGTAACACTACTCCAAGACCATGGGTTCTCCATAAATTTTCCAAAAAGTCACATGGTCCCCACAAACAGGCTGTTGCATCTCGGGACCATTACAGACACAGTGGAGTGTCGGGTATACTTGTCTCAGGAACGCCGGGACAGTATAAGAGACTCCATCCTGAAGTTACACGGGGGGCGGTCAGTAACATTGGTCAGTCTTTCCCAACTGTTAGGCAAAATGATCCCGGCCATAGCAATCATCCCCTGGTCCAGGCTTCACTCCAGGGAACTACAGTGGTTCATGCTCCCATTTCAGAGACAGAACCTCAGTTCCTCCCAACGATGAACGAGTCTCCCACCACATGTGGCGCGTTCTCTCAGGTGGTGGCGGTCAACCGCCATGCTCAGAGGGTTATGTTTCAGGGAACCAGATCGGATAGTGATAACTACAGACACCAGTCTATTCGGCTGGGGAGCACACCTGCGCTCGCAGTGGGCTCAGGGCCACTGGTCTCGCTCAGACCTGTGCCACAACGTAAATTGGCTAGAACTAAGAGCGATACATCTAGCTCTGCGTCACTTCCAGTCTGGTGAAAGGGCGCCACGAAAAGGATGGTGAAGTTTAACAGGATGAATATTTATTAATTAAGTTTTATTTTTATAATTATTATTATTAGTGATTATAACTGTTTAATATTATATTAATTACTGTCATTTAATATTTCTACCCGGACGATAGTCTGCTTGCTAAAAGCACTGAATTTTTTTACTAGGGGTAACCCCACTATTGTACCTTACCCCTACTCTTATCCCAACCCTATACCCTAACCCCATCCAATATCCATACCGATCTTATCCTTTCCCTACCCTTATAAAACTCAATAAAACATTTATTTAAAAAAGCAGCATTAAAGCATCCAAATGTTATAGGACTAGCTTATCTTGAGGCAGGTATTTTAATAAAGATGACCATTTAAGATAGAGGAAATGAAGAATGTAAACCATTAAATCCAAAGTCTAAATTAATTGCACTGCTGAGCAACTGATGATAGCAATCCTCCATATTACATGTGTTTTGACTTAAAAGGGAGACCTAAAAAAGCTTGGTTTTGGGGAACAGACAAAAACTAGATACTGCTTTCTGAATACAACACCAGCTTTCTTCTATTGCATATATATACAGATGTGCAGAAGCACACAATCTTTCTAGCCTAGAATTCCATAGTGTAGATTTTGCTTGCAAGTAACAGATGCCCTGCCTGACTTTGAGAGAATGTACAGTTTATTCAAGGACAGGGATGCGTAATTTGTCTTGAATTTTCTTATAGCAACTGGATGCAATAAACTTGCCAAACAAACTACAATTCTTCTCCATGTGTCTTTGTTCTTATTATTTATAACTACCCTAGTATTCCTTCAACAGTACATCCCACATGCCCCCCAAACAGAGCCTATTTTTAGGAGAATAAGCTCATGGTTTAGTTAAAGATGATATGGACTTAGGACTTTTATCCTCAGAGCATTGTTTACTTGGAATTCTGGGAGTTGTAGTTCCATTCCCAGGTTTTCTGGAGGGCACCAAATTGGAGAGATTGGATAGTGAGAAACCTAAGATGTCACCTTTCCTTAATGATCCATTGTGAATTTAGAACAAAAGTACTAATAAAAAATTAACCATTTTACAATACGCATTTTTAATCTTGATCTGGAGACCATTCTTTTAGATTTTAGAAATGAAGTCTGATTTAGTCAATGGCTGGATTCTGTAAACTTTTATACATAATTTCATGCTACTGACTGCTAACAAATAAATCAATTAAATATGTTTAATTTACATTCGACTAAGAGGTGCGCCAAGTAAGAGACAGGTTTAAGTTTTTAAATCCTTTAAAAAAAAAACCCCTCCAAGTATCATTTTAAAAGGAACTTGTTCTAACATGCATTATCTCAGCTACGGTGATGTCTCTTACAGAACATGGGTATCTCATCCAGAAATAAAGTTTTTACTTAAAAAAGTTTGTTTCTTCCCTATGTAAATTCAATAAAGCCGCAGCCCTAATCTCATCAGAGCTACTGATATTAAATAACATGCTTTATCTCCCATCAGGTGAGACCACTGAATGAAGATGAATTTACTCAATGAAATATTTGTCGACACAATGCATAAAACTTCAGATTTCCTGTAACCAGGTCTCCCGGGCATAGAGCAGAGTAGGATATAGGCTATTAATAATATTAACTGCTATTAATAGGAAAACAGGAGGAGGGAAGAGTATGTTCGCCATCTGGAGTTATTTATAAAAATAATAAAGGTGTATAAATAAAATAAATTACTAGTCCTCATGTCACATTTGCAGAATACCAGGAAATGTTCAATGTCAGAAGAAAACTCAGCATTTATTTAGGGAGAAAAGGGAGTAAACAGGTCACTCACCTGTTTACAATCTTATTAGCAATGGTATTTACTGTATTACATCTGGTCCCTTGGCAGTGAGACGGATGTGCAAGATCAGCACTATATTAATAGCCTCAAGAAGGATTCCTCAGTGACCCTGAATCCAATGCAGAGATCTAACCTGGCTTCTGGGAAGCCTTTGGTAGATGGAACACCTCACCTCCCCCACCCCGCTTTCTCTCTCTTATAGCAGACTAGCCTGAAAGGTCATATTTCATTAATTCTTATCCATTTCTGGCATTTTTCGGATGCTGGGTCTTAAGTGGAGTTGCTTACCCCCCTTTCCTAAGTAAAAAAAAGGATGTCTAAGAGAAGGCAAATGTTTGTGAGTTCAAAACTCCAACTTTGGCCATCTTAGGTCCTTAATAAATATAACAATAAAACAACGAATCAGCCAAAACCTAGATATGTTTGTGGTGTTTACATATCATCCAGAGATGTATACATTAATTTTTTAAATAACAGTTAACATTTTCTTTAAAAACAAATAAATCAAAAACATCACCATCAAAGGAAATATCATATAGTTTCTTGAAACAAAAAATGCCCGTCTTTCTTTTTTTGTCTTCAGGAGTAAGGAGGGAGGGGGGATTGTTATATCTCCTTCCTACAAGACAAGATATTCAAGTCCACAATGAAGAGTAATGGAGAAGAGGCCTATTTGTATTGCTGAAGAACAAGTAATAATCAGTCCCAATGTACAAAGATGCTTTTACAGAGATATAAAATCAGAAGGCAGGTCAAAAAACCAAGGGCAATACTGAGGGTGGAAAATATGTGTTTGTGTGTGTGTGTGTGTGGGGGGGGGAATTGATCATCATTAAGTAAGTAAAAAGAATCTTGGTAAAAACTGATCCTTCAAACAAATAAAGGGAGTTTTCCCCTGCCCCCCATCGCTACACAAATCATAGCTAGGGAGAAATGATTTTGGTCATAACACACAGCTGGAAAAAAGCTACAAGATTAATAATCCCTCATTGCTAGCTACAAGATTAATAATTTTAATCTTCCTCTTCTGAAACTCTTGCATTTATAAAAATATGTATGTTACACATTTAGATCTGGAATAGAATTAAATCTTATTTAAAAAGGGGAAAGGCTAGCCACTTTGGGAAAGCAATTAAATTAAGATTGAAAAGAGGGCATGGATTAGGGCCAGGCTATCCAACTTGGCAACTTTAAGATCTGTGGACTTCAACTCCCAGAATTCCCCAGCCAGCCTTTAGGATTAGGGATTAAGAGGTTTCCTAGGATGGGTTTTAGCAGGTATAAAGCAGATGGGTCAGCTTTGAGCAAACTGCTTAAAGGGTTGTGATGGAAAATGCTGCATTAGAGTATCCTGGGTTTTCTGGTATTTATTTTCACCTGCCCATATAAAGATTGAAAATTAATTATCAATCCCTTTCTTTTCACTGGCTGCCTTTAACTTTTTTCCCTCATGCTTTTCTTTTAAATGGAATAAAACACAACCCTTTATTCTGATTTCAGTTTCTAACTTGGGGGAAGATGCTTTGTGTTTAAATCCAACAGGATTTGAACTGGCTGCAGTTGATGTGGCTGTTTTGAGAGGCAGAGGATGCCGATCAGGCTGAAATGCATGAGGACGAAGATATTACAATATTGAGCCAGAGACCTTTGCAGCTCCTGAGGACTTTGCTCTGCTCCTTTGCAAAGGCCTGAGATGTGCCACAAAGTGCTTGGCGATTTAGAAAGCTCAACTTGGGGTTTGAAAAGCCTTCAGACCCCCGAGGTGTTACACTCAAGGGACAACCTGAGGAAAAGCAGTGGTGGAAGACTAGATTTGTAGCTCTGAGCTGCAAGATAAGGAGGTACAATATCCCACTTCCTCGATTAGGAGAGGGCCTCGGGAGGCTTGGCCGGTGAGGTGAGGCCATCACTGGGAAGAGCAAACTTCTTAAAATCTTAGGGGGTGGGAAAAGGGAAAGGTGTTAATACAACAACTACAGGTAGCCTTGACCAGAACTGAGTCCGGAATTAAGGTCATACATTTTGCTAGTTGTTAAACAGGGTCTTCACACAACCCACCTGAATTCATGACATTTTTGTGGCCTCTGCAATGGGTGTTATTTTTGCCAGGAATCAGAAGTAAATGCCAGTTTCTTGCAAAAACAAAAAACAAAACCCTTGGTAAATTTCAGTCACGTAACCAGAAGTTGAAAATGGCCATAAATGCAAGATGGCTGCCAAACACCCAAAATGTATTCACATGACTGCAGGGTGAGGTGGGGCCCCAGCTGTTGGAACTTCGAATCTGGATTGTAAGTACATCTGGAGGAGGGATCTGTCAGAATTTTGATTGCTAAGAAACTGATCATAAATTAAGGACTACCTTTTCTTTGCACTTTGTAACACCCAACCAAAAAGGGAGTTACAGAGACTATTTTTTTCTTCCAATTCATAAGGTCATTCTCTCTTCCTTCTTTATTGTTCTCTGATCCTATAACCTGAATGTGCAAGTAAGTATCAACCGAGTTCTGGAAAAATGGGGGAGACAGTCTTTTAAACATCCTGCTACATAATGACTTATTGTTATCTGAAGAAAACTGTTTTCAGATTATTTTTTTTAAAAATCTGATTCTAGAAAAGACAATGCAGAAAGGAAAGGCGATTCTTGTTGCAGTTCTACCGGAAACAGAACTGTCATCGCCCAATTAGGGAGTGTCCTAATGATCATGTTATAACATGACAGTGGCACTGTTCTTATTTGAATTCCTTTGTAAGCTTCTAAAATGTATTGAATTAACTACAGAAGGAAGCCTCACATATGTTGCTGCTACTCTTGAGGCAGGAAAGGGCAGGGAGAATTAGTGGTAGAGGCAATGTTCTAATGACTTCATAAGTAGCTGAGGGGAAAGAGTCAGTTGCTTGGCAGTCAAGGAAGTTTGGAAACCATGATTTCTGGGCCTAACAATGAAGAATTATGAGCTGTCAGTTACAAATGTGTGTCAGTTATTCCTGCTGGAGGCAACAATTAGTGTTCAAAATTATGTCAGTGCGTATACTTTAGTTGTCTGGCTCTCTGGCCCCCAGCTGGTTGTTGTTGTCGTTTACTTCCTTTTGTTAAGCCCAGATAATGGGGAATACATATAAACATTAAGTATGCCAGACCCAGGATAGTGCTTTCAGTGGCTGGTTTGGCAACAAACTCGAAGAGACATCCTGTAGAGAAAAGCATGTCAGAAATGCTCCTGTGATTATTGGCATCAGGGAGCAGTTTGGGGAAATTAAATGACTTGAGTGATCCTGAAACACAGAAAAACTAGCAGTTCAAAAGACATGCTAGCTTACTCCCTGATGTGCTTGGCCTAGGTGCTCAAGGTGCATTTTTTCTGTAGCCAATGAGGGAAAACAAGGGCTTCCCCATGTTCTAAATTGCCAATAGTCTGAAGGGGTTTTTCCATTTTTTCTTCTTCTCAGACATGCAGACCAGCTGTTATGTTGGGAAGCAGAACGAACAAGTCCAGTCAAAGTAGAAAATGCTCCTTTATACCATGATCAAAGTTGGTTGCCCTCTAGTCAAGGTGGGGTGGGGGTTAACCAAGATGCTTCAAAGCCATCTGATTCTGTCTGACAAAGGCTGAAGGTTAATTCAGTCTGGAGGAGAAGCTGCCTCAAAACACAAAAGGATGCATCCATTCCCTGAAGTTGCCGCATCTTGGCAATTCCCAAGCTCAAGTCCCACTGGCAAACCCCCACAGGGCTAGAGGAAGCTCTGGGGAGATGAGTGAGTGGAGGCAGTGGGATGCTGGCATGCCATTAGACTGGCCAAGTAGCATGGTGGACCCACAATAGGAATGGTTGGTTTCATGGAGTTCAACCCAGGTGGGCTTGTTAGAAGATCCAAGAGATGATACAGGAGGATGTACAGAGAGGAGAAAGGATGGGAACTAATTAATCCCCACCTCATGCCTGCTCCTGTTTCTGTTTCACTGAGATCCGTTTCTTGCGGGCCGCCAACATCTCGTAAAAAGGATCCACACTTACAGCAGCCCTGTGAAAAAAGTGCGATATGGAGCATGATGGAGCCAGGTACAAAAGAGGGAAAGGGACTGTGTTCCCCTCCATCCCCACTTAAACCTCGAGCAGCGTAGCTGGGGGTAGATCTGGAAGTACAAACTCCAAATCCTGCTTAGCCATTAATATAATGGTCGCTTTTATATGACACACATTTCAAGATTAGTTTGATGTCAAGAGAACTTCTGTGTTCACAGGACAAGCTATGATCTGTAATTATACCATGTTATGCCTTTGCAATGCAGAACAGGTTAAGATAGTGGTTGGGCTCCCATAACATTTTTTTTTTAGCTCAATTTTACTCTATGAGCTCCACCCATTGTGTTATACAGCTACGCCGACTAACCCTTCAACTAAACTGGATCAAATCAATGGCCTAAACATTCTCTTAACAAGGAAATGAAGAAAAAGGGAGAGAAAGGAAAGGAAGTAAAGTGTATGTTTATACATATTTGTTGACATGTTAAGTCACAACAAACAGTGTGGAAAGCTTGCTATATGCACTGCAATGAGGAAATGCAACCTCAGATCAACAGATTAAAGTGAGAGAGTTTTGACTAAGGATTACAATAGGTAATTTACTAAGTTATTTTTAAAGGAAGCAAATTGGACATGTCTAAGCTTCATGGACTGTAATATTTTGATCGCAGATGTTGCATTACCCACCTACCCGCCTCTCTATGCTACTGCAGAGAAGTGGTACTTCTACAACATTAAATTTTTGCCTTATTAGTTCTAGGTTTTCCAAGAATCCTACTATGAATTTATGTGCTATTCAGAATGTTGAATGAAATATTTAGCTTTTATTAAACTGCATAAAAGCCTCTTTGGACCGTTCCTATTCTTAATGCATGTGGAAAGATTAAAACTTGGGACCTTAGCTTATTCTTCCCCCACAATACTTTACATAATTGAACCACTTCTAAGATTACCAAATCAGTTTTTTCTTCCTCTTTCTGTAGCTCCAAAATCTCTAAGGACTATATTAAGAATATTCTATCAATTTCTTCATTTCTGAATTATGTAACCAAAGGTTTCCTGAAAAGAAGAAATCTTTCTAATTTAATAGTATCTCTGCATGACAGATATTAACTGAGAAGAACAGACGGTAAAAAAAACAGGAAAAAAGAGATCCCTAATTTAAGATTTACGGGGAGGTCATCGTAACATCTTGTGAAGTTTCTGTGCTAAAGTTTGGGTTAATCTCCACAGAAATTCTATCAGTTCCTTTCTGTTAAATAAAGTCTTGAAATTCAAGGTGGAACATCAGGAGCTAGAGCTGGGAATCAAGAATCCTGAAAAAGAAACAATGTCTTATTCTCACTTGATGGATTTAATCCACTCGTCTTTTTCTTCCTGTGTAGGTGCCGAGATGCGGTAGACCATATGATTCCCCTCAACCACACGTCCATCTGCCTCAGTCTTACAGGCTTTGATTAGCTGGCCCTTGTTATTGGGAATGTAGAGTTCAAAACAATTCTACAAAAATAAAATAAAAGAGTGATGAAAGGAAGAGAAAGCCTTTAAAAAGCCAGCCATTTGCAAACGGTTCATGAAAATGCCTTCCAGCTGATTTGGGGGTACAAAGAAGGGAAATAAAAGAGAATGTTTTGAGAAGGGAAACAAATACTTGTATTTCAGGGTTGAACTATGGAGACGTTGGTGCTCTCTGAGTTTGGTTGTGAACCATATGAACCACACGCAACAGAGGTAAATAAAGAGACCTCTCCTAGAACTTTTAAAAAAAGCTTTTGCTAACTTTCTGCCCATCCAGTGTCTTCAAGGTTTGTTTTATTTGCCTGCCTGCCTACCCAAGCTTTACTTGTGGAGTGTTGGTTCAAGGCAGACAATCAGAAGAAAAATGAAATATAATTTTTTTTCCAAAGTGTAGCCAACCAGCCAAGCTGGCTGAGGAATTCTGGGAATTGAAGTCCACAAATCTTAAAGTTGCCAAGGTTGGAGACCCCTGCTGTAAGCAATCATAATGCAGCACCACTTACTGGTTTCCGTGGGTCTTCTACTTCCCGAATGCTTAGGTTTTCCAATGGGATAATGCCTCTTGGTTCTTTATCCTAAAAATGGATTTTAAAAATATGAATGAAACAGAATAGGCCCAATAATCTGGGTAGGTAAGACTTAGGACTCCGAAAGCATCTGTTCCAAGAAATCTTTTCGAGGGCAAAGCTTAATTAGTCTCTCCAATTTTGGATGATAGCTCCAAGGATTTTTAATCATAAGCTAGTCTAACTGGAAATTCTCAGAGCTGTATTCTCAGTGTGTCTGTATTCAAGAAAGGCTGTGTTAAATGGACCTTTTCTAGAGTTTGAAGAATGAACATGGCTATGATGAAATAGTTTTAATGTTGGACACGCACAAACACCCGCTCCCCCACAAAACTCACTAGATGCATTATTTCTCAGCTGGAACTCCCTCACAAGGCAGTTGTGAAGGTAAAATCAAGAGTGAGAATGATCATATCTCATAAATGAAGACAAATATACATGCCCCAAGATAATGTTGCAAGATCGAATCTGAGTTGGTCACCGAAAGCAGAGATTTTCTTTTCTGAGCTTTCTGAGCCCATCCTTGGGGAACTCCTGTCTACTGAAATATGTCCTTTGGGCTATTTTGTGAATCATATTTATGTGATGCCATCCTATTGGCTGACTGGCATGTTAGCCAAGAAAATGACTGAAACCTGGAAAACGGCCCCCTTGTCAGTTAACAGGAGTGCTGATTTACCACTAGCTTATCAAGTACCAGCACAAGGAAATGACAGCCAATTGTCAGCCATCAACACATCAATCAGCCATTAGGAAGGCACCACATAAATACGACTCACAAAATAGGCCAACTCATATTCCAAAAGAGAGAAGCTTCCTGAAGATGGGTTCCAGTGTGAGTCCAAAATCTCTGGTCCTGGTGGCCGATCCAGATTTGATCTCGCCATAATTATCTAATGACTTAAGATGATATAGATTTCATAAAGCAGATTAGAGTCTTAACCCAAAGAAACCAGCTCTTCACCAGTACGACAGACTAGGTGGCAGTCTCTGCCTAGCTTCTCATAATGTACTCACCTATTATAGCACTGCAGGACTTGGAACAGCCCTGGTGCTCTGCATTTAAGTTACTGCTGATTTTGGCTGCAGCCATAAAAATCAGGGCGGGAACAGTATGCATCGGCTGTTAATCTTGCAGAGCTTAACAGTTTGTTGTATCCTGCCTTCTTTCTGCCTACATACTTCTTGCAAAAAATAATATTTCTTAAGCAGCTTCTCTGCTTCAAGTGGGCCACTGTTCCTGGACTGCCATCCTGTTGTCACAGTCCTTCCTGCCCAACTGGGCCATTTGATTCCCTGCATTGCAAACCCTCCTAGGACTCTTAAGATTCCCACTTGCTAATAGGGGGAGTGCAGGATGGGTGGGAGAGGGAAACTGTACTAACTGTGGTGTATTCAAAGTAATAGAGGCAGTTGTCAGTCAAGATGAACCAGCGTCGCTTCCATGTCTTCACCCGTCCTCCTGAAAACAAGAAGGGGAATCCGTTCTCATTTTACATCTATGTTTACTTTGCTCGCAAAACTTTCTCTACCTTCATATTTTGGGGTGGGAAGCCATGCTTATGAACAAAGCCAATGCAATAAGGAATTCAGAAACAACGTAAGACACATGAGGGAAAATAAAAGAAGGAAGAACAAGACAAAAAGAACATAAAACTGAGTCAAAGTAATGAAACACAGCTGGAAAGGATTCTAGGAGTTCACAAAATAGTACCTTTTCCAACAATGGATTTATTGTATGAACATTGAGGGATTCCAATTTACTGTCTCCCATTTTTTTTATGTAAACATGAGAATAGATACAATTCAAGATCCTTTTTATGCTGAGATTTGTAAGGCTGTCCTGAAGCTTTCAATAATGGGAGTAGATTTACTTTATTGTCAGTTTGGACGTGTGTTTTAGCAACTAAATATCAAGGTTATCACTGAGCATAAATTGACACTTTAAAAAGCAAACATACTCCTGACTTAAGACAAGCTGATCCAACAAAGCATAATTGTGTCTCGCAAGCAATCTGCTTTAAACAAGGACACTGTGGAGGAGTCTGGGAGAAATTTCTAGCCTCTCTGAACAAAGTTCTCAACTCCAGAGAGAAAACAGCTTTTGCATAATAAGCACTTGATTCTTCTGAACACAACCTACATTTTCATAAAGAGCAGGGCTTTTAGCATGCAAAGCAAGCAATTGCTCTAGGCATGAAGCAAGATATAAGTTCAGATTTATTGCAAAGCCAGCAGTCATTTCCAGCTTGAGGCAAAGCTAATCTGTACATATGCATGGGTGCAAATCTGGCTTATCACTGGATAAGGATTTCAAGTTTTTTTTTTTTTTTTGCATTCCCCAATTAAATTACATTCAAAGAGCATATAGCTTCTCCCGTGGAAATGGACAAAACTGAGATGCCAAAATGCTCTTTGTGGAACTTCAGAACACATCAAAAATCAATGTAACCTGCTGCTTCCAACAATTGCCAGGCAGATACTTCTGGGAAAATAAGGACAACTTGAAGGCTGACATTCATATGTTGCCTCTCAACAAGAAGTTGCATCTTGACGTCTGCATGAGTATTATAAAATACAAGAATCTCTGCTCTGTGGCAGCCACCTTATAGAGATCTCTCTTGCTTTAATAGGCGGGGAAAGGATAGGCCTCCTTACTAAATAGTAACCCATTAAGACATGTGGACTATTTATGACATGCAGATTGTGGACAATTCACAACCTATCTGCATACCTCTCTAAAACACCTCCATCACCTTGGGGAGATGACATTTTCTCTCCCGCCCCACAAAACTTGCTCAGACTCTCACTCCATTAAGGTTTTTTTTGTCCTTCCCTTCCAGTGGCACCACAGCCTCATTGTATGCAGCCCTGTCCTAAAGCTGTAAGCATCATCAATTCAGACCTGCATGAACAGCTGTGTCTATTACCTGGTAGCTTGCTGCAATGGGGGGAGTGTGTGTGGGGGGGACAGAACAGATTGAGAGAAAAGGGAAAGTGTCAGAAAGGGAAGGGTGATGGGTATGTCAAAAAGAGAGAATGGATGCCCCCACCCACTGCTTTCTGCTGCAGCCCCACCCTCCAATTAGCAAATGGTCCCAAATAGATGATCACTGAGGGAATGATAGGACTCTGAACAGAAAATGGATGCTTGCCCCTGCATCAAGACATGTCCCATTCTAGGGGTGAAGAGACTGCTAATTCCTTGCATCTCCTCCACGTTCATTTTGTATCCACTGAGCCCTGTCACAACTGATATTCCCACATGTCCCACCCGTCCTTGTCCTAAAGCCCAACCGCAGACCCGCTTCCAGTCCCAAATGCATCAGGCAAACCAGCTCTCAGCTGCAAAACAAAAGGCCCCCTCCTCTCACCTACCTCCTGGTTTGGGGGCAGTATTCAGACAGTAGAACAAATGTAGTCCGCGCCGTGGGATGGTGGAGGAGAGAGGGGGGGGCAGGGTAGCAGTGGTAGGGAAAGAAGGGAGCAAAGAGAGAGAAGGCAGGGACCAGGGGAGTCAGGATAGAGAGAATGGGGGTGAGAAACAGAGAGAGGAAGAGAAAAAAGAGAGAGGAAGAGAGAGAGAGGAAGAGAGAGAAAGGAGAACAAGTTACATCAACATAAGGTAGAAGTACATGGTCAAATCAAAAATCCTCCAACACAGACATAGGCATTTGGGAGCAATGGGATGGGAAAATGGGACAGGCAGAGGGAGGAAGGGTTTAAACTTTATGGGGATGGGTATAAATGGGACAGGCATAACTTTGCTAAATGACAAAGCCTTTTAAACCTTTGATAGATTACAGGAAACCCTATCTCTAGAACAGGAGGGTCCAATCTTGGCAACTTTTGACTTGTGGACTTCAACTCTGGCTGGAGAATTCTGGGAGTTGAAGGGCACAGGTCTTAAGATTGCTAAGGATGGACATCCCTGTTCTAGCAGTTTAGGCGACATTTGCAAACCACAATGCAACCAACGTTGCCACATTAATGGCCTCCATAGGGAGGCAAAAATGATTGCAACAATAGTTTGCTAATCATTCATTTGTATAGATAGATGTACTAAGTCACCAAGGGCTCTGGTCTGTCCAGCAAGCTGCATCTTGGTCAAGCCAGGAATTTGGATTCCAAGCACAGCTCTTCAAAATTAATTCACTTTGTCCATTTAACTCCTCTGAGGAAAGTGACTAGGTTAGCTTCTATTTTTCCCTCGCTGCTCAAATGTTGCTTCTTTTCTCTTGTTTCCTCCACCTTGAACATACGATGTTTGGGCCACACAATCCTTCCTCTCTTCTTTACCGTCCATCTGTCCTGCTCTATGTCAGTTTGACAGCAGAAGGCCTGCAATATTTTACCTACAGCAAACACTACATTTTAGTGATGCTCTACCAAAGCACAAGAAAAGGTGATTGTGATAGGAAACAGGTGAAAGAATTTAAAAGGGGTTTCTTTCAACCAGGAATTGTGAAAGAGCAGCCGGATGTATGCTTTTATCCCTTAACTTGTTCTCTGCTCCGAGCAAAATAAAGCACTACTACAGACAGTCCTCGACTTACAACCACAATTGGATCTGGAACTTCTGTCGTTAAGTGATGCAGTCATTAAGCGAGTTGTGACCAGGTTTATGACCCTTTTGTTAACTGAATCATACGGTTATTAAGTGATTTTGGCTTCTCCCTTGACTTTGCTTGTTGGAAGCTGGCTGGGAAGGTCAGAAATGGCGATCACATGAACTTGGGATACTGCAACCGTCATAAATGCATGCGGCTTGCCAAGCACCCCAAATTAGATCACATAACCTTGGGCACACATGACCATGGGGACACCACAATGGTCATAAATGCAAGAATTATCTGTAAGCCATTTTTTACAGTGCCGTTGTAACTTCAAATGATTGTTAAACAAACAGTTGTAAGTCGACCTGTACCTGTACTATTCTATCTCAATCTCCTGGTAGGGAACCAGGACTCAGTGACTGGAGTCCCACCTTGCCATCATGTGTTTCTAAGGAAGACTGAAAGTTGAGTTTCCCAAGGACCTCTTAGACCACATTACCAGCTTAGCCAATCACTTAAAACAGCTGATCCCAAGGATTATAACATTTTTGACTCTATGATGTTGCTTTGGATTTCTTCTGGCTGGATCTGAGTTTACATTCATGGCCTTGTCTGCTTTGGACCTTATACTGCACCTGGCCTACTTTGGATGGACAGGACAGGATGGACAGGAAGGTTCTCTTGGAGTCCTAAAGCTTATCTATTTTGTGCCCCACTCTGGTCAAGAGTACTATTCCACTTTGCTTCAAGCTAGCAATGACATCATAAAGTTCCTTATCCAAAGAGGAATTCTTTGTCTCTAGTTTACACAGTAGTCCAAGAGTAGAGAATTATTCTACAATGTGGGTTTTTATCTACACCAGTGGTTTTCAACCTGTGGGTCGGGACCCCATTTGGGATCGAACAACCATTTCACAGGGGTCGCCAAACAATGCAGTCCGCCATTTTTTCCCCTTTTCCTTGGCTGTGCTACTCCCTTTTATTCTATTGGCTTTTGAAAGCCAATAGAATAGACTCTTGAATAGAGTCTAATTCTATTGGCTTTCAAAAGCCAATAGGAATTGTCCAGGCTGTCTCTGCCCTGCTGAGCTCGCCAAAAGTCCCATTCTGCAAACGGTGCTGCACCAGTTGAGTAGTCCTTGACTTACGACCGGTTGAGTAGTCCTCGACTTACGACCAGTTGGGGGTCGCGGTATTAAAAAGGTTGAGAACCACTGATCTACACTAATGAAATTGTTTTATGACAGAAGTTAAACTGATAGTACTTCTGCTAATTGCCCTAAATTAGCGAGGAGAAGTAAAGATTGCATGGTCTGACTATGAATCCCGATTTAAGCCTGGAACATTCCATTGTTTTAACCTCCCTGTCCCCCACCTCCCCAACTTACAGATGCATCCAATAGGTTTGAAAAGGTACCAGCAATAATGGTGAAACACAGACGCCAGAGATATGGCTTTCAGTGGTCTGATGCTGGGTTTTCAATTAACTTGCCTGCTTTTAAAGCAGACATGTCAAACACAAGGCCCGGGGGCCGGATGCAGCCCGCGAAGTGGTTTCATGTGGCCCACAAAGCCATCCTGGAAACAGTGAGGGAACGGCCCCCGCTGCCTTGGCCCAGGACAGCCAGGAGCCAATGTACAATTTTGTGGTGGCCGTCTATGCTGAAACACACTCAGTCTTAGCTCCACAAGGCCGTCTGGAACCAGCGAGGAGCCAGTCCCTGCCGCGTCAGCCCTGCCCCCTGGGTGCATGCTGGGGAGGTGTCACCATTTGTGAGGAATGAAGAAATGCACCATTGCCTGGAAGTGGCCAGCAAATGGCCCTCGCCTACTTCACATATCCAGCTTGATGGACTCTGGGGGAGGGGTTTCGGCAGGCAACAGGGTGCTCTCCACACAGCGCCTAGAGGCTGAGCCGGGCGGTGCAAATCCCAAAAGAAATGCGAGGCCGCCCAGCTCCCAGCCTGCCTGGTTTCAGCAGGCAGTGGGGCGCTCTCCTCACAGTTCCAAGAGCTGAGCTGGGTGGCGCGAATCTGGTGAGAAGTGCAATTCTGCCTAGCCCACAGCCTGCCCAGTTTCAGCAGGCAGCAAGATGCAAAGTTGATGAGTTTTGCACCACCCGGCTCAACCTCTCGGCGCTGTGACAAGAGCGCCCCGCTGCCTGCCAAAACCGGGCAGGCTGAGGGCTGGGCGGCATTGCGCTTCTTTTTGGATTTGCGCCACCCTGTTCAGCCGGCCCCCCTGATGCAGCCCTCAATGAAATTGAATTTGACACTCCTGTTTTAAAGGCAATTCACAAAAATCCCAGCAGACCCCTCTCATCATCTGTCAGAGAAGATCCACCTCAAGTGGGAGGTGGGGGAGAAAAAAAGGGAGATCTCTGTAATTGAATGGATCCCCATGGGTTTTATATATATATATCTATAGAGAGAGAGAGAGACAGTTATGTATCTCTGGTTTATGGGAAAGGGAGGGACATCAGGGTGGATTTCAGGAGGATCCCTTTGATCTGATGAAGAGAGAGGTCATGCTTTAAATGACACAACAGGTGGGGGGAAGAGAGGAGAGTGCAGAGACGTGCAAAGATCATGGGGTGGGATGGTGGGAGAGGGCAGGGGGAAGGGTAGTGGGGAAGGGGAGAAAAGGCTGTAGTGTATAAGGGGAAACAGGGGTGCGCTTCTCACCCAGCTTGAGGAGCCAGCCCTCGCGATCGGGGTTAAAAAATGTGTGGGTCAAGTCATTCCCATCATCCTCTGGGATCTTGAAGGGCTCATTACGGATGCTGTCATACAGATTCTAGCGGGAGGGGAGGAAGGACAGGAATTATAGGCAGGAATTATATTCCTTTCCAATTTGGCAAGAAAAAAGGTATGCCTGTTTGAATTTCCAGGGCACAGTGACCATGCTTGGTGAACTATACAATGGAGTGGATAAAATACAGGTAGTCCTTGACACTTACAAACTGAGCCCAACATTTACGTTGCTAACTAAAACATTGGTTAAGTGAAGTCTGCCCCATTTTATGGCCTTTCTTGCCACTGTTTTAAGTGAATCATTGCAGATGTTAAGTTAGTAATGTTAAGTGCATCTGGCTTCCCCATTGCCTTTGCTTGTCAGAAGGTCGCAAACACTGATCACATGACTCTGAGACACTGCAACCATCATAAATGTGAACAGCTGCCCAGTATCTGAATTTTGATCATGTGATCAAAGGGATGCTTCAATGGTCGTGTGAAAAACAGTCATTTTTTTCCCATTGCTGTTGTAACGTTGAACGGTCACTAAATGAACATTTGTAAGTTGAGGACTACCTGTAATACAGAAAACACACTTATAAACAAAAGCAAAATATTTTAAATATAGAAGAAACTGCAGTTGCAGTAATACCATTACGTTAAAACAAACAGGGAGCCTTAACCTTGGCAACTTTAAGATGTATGGACTTCAACCCCCACAATTCCCCAGCCAGTATGGCTAGCTGGGGAATTCTGGGAATTAAAGTCCACATGTCTTAAAGTTGCGAAGCCTGGGAAACCCTACGTAAAAGTATCTCAGAACTGCGCAGAGAATGTTTACAATGGTAAAAAAAAACAAAACTGAAAAGGTGGTTTCTTTCCTCCCTCCCACTAGCCTTCAAACAAGGGAGTCATATAGCTAAAAAACGGGCCTTGAATTCACTTTGCTATAACTCCTCACCCGCAGCAACTCCTCTGGCAAGTCGCCCCCGTCATTGATGCCGCGGTTCATGGTGATGAACCTCTCGACGGTGGGCTTGTCTCGCACGTTGGGGTTGTGAAGGCTGGTGTTTAGCATGATGACCGCGAAGGAGAGGACATAACACGTATCTGGGGAAGGAAGAGGAAACCAACAAATAAGCATTTCAGAGCTTATTTCTAGGCATCTGAGTAGATGTAATGAACAGGATTTTCTGCTTGTAAGTTCTCATTAGAGAATTAAATCATTATTATAGGAAAAATAATGGAGGGAACGTTAAGTCACAGAAGTGCAGCTTGTTGTTTTGTGACTCTTGCATCTTTTGGGCTGCTCTGAATGTTGTGTGTTATTAGAAGAGATCAGAGTCTTTAGACAGGACCATTTCAGGCTACTCTATATTACAATGTGGCAATGGGAGACACAAAGAAGAGCCGCAGCCTAGACAACCGTCTTGTAAAAGTTGTCTCAGCCCATCGAAGGAAAAATACGCTCTGCACTCAAATACCGGTGAACTCACAGGGAAATAAATGGCAGGAACATCCTGGGACTCAATATTCAGAGTCTGATTCAAATACTGCCCACATTCATACTGCCCAGAGAAAGTCTGTAGTTCACAACTTAAGAGGCCCCCATTCTCTTTCTCAAGAAATGCTGTACCTGTAGACTGAAAGACTCCTGGGTTGCAAAGACAGTACCGCTGAGCAAAGGCTTCCATCATACGATCAATTTTCTGGGCTTCTCCTGGTAACCGAAAACTCCACAGGAACTGCCTGCAGAGGAATGGGAGGCCATGAATGCAGACACAGGGGAAGTTTTCATTTGTCTGCTCTGAAATACAGGTAGTCCTCAATTTACAACCATTCATTTAATGAGCACTGAAAGTTACAACAGCTCTGAAAAAAATGACTTATGACTATGCAATCTTTGTAGCATCCTCATGGTCACATGATTAAAATTTGGATGCTTGGCAACTGGCATGTATTTATGACGTTTGTAGTGTCCCAGGGTCATGTGACCTTTTGCAACCTTCTAACAAGCAAAGTCAATGGGAAAATTAGATTCACTTAACAACCGTGTTACTAATTTAACAGCTGCAGTGATTCACTGCACAAGTGTGGCAAGAAAGGTCATAAAATGGGGCAAACTCACTTAACAACTGTCTTGCTTAGAGATTTTGGGCTTAACTGTGGTTGAAAGGACCACAGTTCAACTGTGGTTGAAAGGACTACCTGTATTGGATGTATTCTTTATTTTGAAAACTAGGGATCCTACAGATCTCATTATACAAATTGATTCCATGCCTGGGATGTTTTGCATCCTGTGTCTTTCTATCCTCTTTCATTACTTTGCATTTGATTTTCAGCATTCCTTATATCTAGCAAAGACTGAAGTGCTCCTCAACATGAGAGACCACTCTAATTTTCCCCGTATTTCTAAATCCATCTAGAAGTACAAATATTGCATGCTTAGAAAACAAATTCAAATTTAGGCTATGCATTCTTCGTCCAGAGAGATTGACTCCTTCCTTCCTTCCTTTTTCTTTTGCCAGTTGTTCTAATTCTATTTGCAAGTCTTAGAATTTTATGATTTTTTCCAGTTCTTTCTCTTCTCTTCTGTTGTCTTCAGCTGTTTCAATGTCCATTACCTAGACTTGTTTTCTCAACAATTGTTAAGTTTGGGGGATTGCGTGGCAGATGGTTGTTTGTTTGAATTCAGAGCACTTTAGTTTCTTCATTTTCTATTACTTTGTATATTTTGTGGTCCCATCAATTCTTGCTTATAGGCAAGTGGTATTTCTTGCAGAAATTCCAATGCATCACTGTTGCTACACTGTCATGCCGCTGTTTGTAGTCTGTGTGATCCTCTTGCTGCAGCTAATTAGATGTTGCATTGTTTCTTCAGCTTCTTTGCAGAGTCAGCATGTGCTGCCTGTTGCTGTCTTCTCAATTCTAGCTTTCTATGCATTTATAGGGCTTCTCAGTTCTAGTTTTCTATGCATTTATAGGGCTTGGCCTTATGCATTATCATCATTGTCCTTTTTACCTAGGACAAATAACCTACAATTTGTCCACATATAGTAAACACAGTACTATGCATTGATAGTTTAAGAAAATATGGAAGGCCAAAGATCTCCACCCATCTATACAGAAACACATCATGAGATAGTTAAGAAATGGAGTACGGTGATGTAGAGAAACCAAGAACAAATCTTGATTCAGTATAATAAATGAGACAAATGCCAAAGGATGGCATTTTTCCTCTTACAAAATTAAAGGAAAGACTGTGGGAACTGATGCTCATTCATCTAGAACAGGGGTCCCCAACTTCAGGTCTATGGACCGGTACTGATCTGCGGCCTATTGGGAACCAGGCCGCTCAAGTGGCAGGCAAGCGTGTGAAGCTCCATTTGCACAAGCAAAGGGGACACGCACAAAACCATCTCCTGTCCCTGCTGCCGGCGCTGTCAGTCCACGCAGCCAGAAAGGTTGGGGACTGTTGATCTAGATCAGTGTTTCCCAAACTTGACAATTTTAAGGCATGTGGACTTCAACTCCCAGAATTCCACAGCCAGCGTTGCTGGCTGTGGAATTCTGGGAGTTGAAGTCCTCATGCCTTAAAATTGTCAAGTTTGGGAAACACTGATCTAGAGGGCTCTGAGTTGGGTAAGGCAGCAACAGAAGAGGTGGCTTCAGGCAACTCTGCTTTCTCTTTAGCAGGAAAAATAGTAAATTCTTGCTCTTAACTTTCACCCCTCAGCATAGGAATGAGAAGTACTGCAGCCAAACATTTGGAAAACTATTGTAGCTAATGAGGACTCTAATATAGTAGATGGCTGAAGATTTCCAGACTCACCTGAGCGCTTGCACTAGGTTGAGGTCAGTAAATTCATGCAAATCAACAAAGGCATGGAGGACACCAATATTAAACTCCTCCCTGAATAAAAGATTAGGAGAGTTTGTGTTAATCCTGCCCCTTTGAAGGCAAAATCATTCGTAACATCCCAGTCACTGAAATGTTTATTCTATTTTCTTCTCTCATAACTTCTTTAATCTGCTTAAAATTCACTCTAAAACACTTAGATTTGGTCTTTTTTCATTGGCAACACCCCACCTTTCTGAATAAATTTAATCTATCACAGTTCAGTATCTGTGCTCTTTTCCAGTGTCCCGGGAAGCTCTCTGCTGTAGCTTAATCTGCACTGTGTTATCAATGGCTGCATCTTTCTCACTCTCTCATTTGCTCCTTCCATCTTTCCCATTCTTGCTCACCTCTCGCCAAGGTAGTCCCCAATGGCTGTCTTGTTGAGGCCTTCCCCTTTGTAGAGGAAGCGAGCAATATCCTCAGGTGTGGAGCGCAGAAGTTCATTTTCCACCAGGAATTGTATTCCCTGGAAAAGGTAATTAAGTCAACAACTGTAGAGCAGTACGTTCCCACCCTCAAAATAGCTTTAATTTAGAAATCTGATAGGTTAGTTTATTTATCTATTCATCCATCCATCCATCCATCCATCCATCCATCCCACCTTCATGATTTGTACAAATAACTCAAGGTGGTAAACACATCCAACAGACCTTTGTTCTCCTATTTTCACCACAATAACCCTGTGGGGTGGTTCGTCTGAGAGAGAATGACTAGCCCAAAGTCATTTAGCTAGCTTTCATGGCTAAGGCAGGACTTGAACTCATAGTATCCTGCTTTCCAGCCTGATGCCTAAGCATTAAGACCATACTGGCTCTCTAGGTTTTTCAAATGGGTTTCCTGCCCTTCAATCATGTAATTCTGTCCCAAGAAGGCCTGGAAAAAAAAATCACGATTTCTCATTCCAAACAATTATGTCATCAGGAAACATTTGTTTTCCCTTGGACAAATCTTTAGATATCATAACATGCAAACCCTTCACTCACTCACTTTTTTGGGATCCATGTTGAATTTCTTACGGCCCATCCCCATCTTCCGATTCCTCTGTAGAGTTTTACTGTCCAAGACAAAGAATCACACCTTTGACTGTTACAGAAAGGGATTGCAACATTTAAAGCTCATTTAGGCTTTTGAATACACACATAGTCCTTGGTTAATGATAGTAATTGGGAACAGAATTTCCATCACTAAGTGACGCAGTCATAAAGCATGACATCACATGACCAGCAGGCTCTGTTGTCACCTTTAACCAAATCTGGCTGATTGTTTTGATTCAAACCATTCCCAGATCGGTCCCCCCCCCCATAACCCCAAGTCTTGGAAGGTATGGGGCTGCCTCCTCTATAAGTCTCCCCACTTACCTATCTTCTTTTGGCCATCGTGCACAATGACACCCCTCATAGCAGCAGCCTCAGCCAGCCACTGCTGGGCCTCTATTTCAGCCCCAACTCAGGCCTTCTGAAGGATTGCAAGGACACATACAATTTAGAGAAAGGTGTGGTTGGCCTTGGGAAGAAGGCCTGACATGGCCAGAAGCTGCCTTGCATAAATTGAGACTGGGCACAACTTGTCAGCAGCAGAAGGAGGAGATCAGCTCGGCATGACAGGGCTAACAGGAGAGCAAGGCAACAAAGGCTTTGTGCTGTAGTGCCTGGCCGTACGTGGAGCTTAAAGTAGCATTTCTTGGTGGTGATAGTGGTGGTGGTGGTTGCGGTGGCAGTGCTGGAATGGACCTAGAGGTGGCTGCTGGATGAGACTGCCAAAGGCTGAGGAACACTACTATGCAGGGCATCCAAAAGGGCAGAGATGAGGAGGAGGTAGGCAGGTAGATAGAGTTAAAATACCCCTGTGGTCATAAGTATGGCGAGCTGCCAAGTGCCCAAATTTTGATGTGTGACCACAGGGGCACTGCAACAGCCATAATTTCAGGAACCATACACACATTGCCACCATAACTTCAAACAGACACTGAACGAGTGGTGGTAAAAAACCCAGGGCTACCTGTGAATGCTACCAACTTCAGTGGATGCTAAGCAAGCTCTTGCTATCATTTTTTATACAGCATTTTGTCTTTTGTTCATTTAAAATATATACTTTTCTGTGTATAGCAGTTGGAAAGATAATGTAAATGAGAAGGACATACTTAAAGATAGATTTAAATGATAACGGGCATAAGCAACCAACTTGTTCAGATGCAAATAAAAACACATTATTTGAAAGAAAAAGGATGGATCTGCATGATAGAAGGGTATACCCTCTCCATACGATACAGATTCTGGGGTCCTACTGTTTAAAAGAAATAGATCCTTTCTAGCAACCATTTATTTTTTCTCTTTCTCAAGAATGATGCTACTTCACAATACCCCTTTGTTCTCATAATATCATATAAGTAGCTATGAAGAATATACCTAATTCAGCTCTCCAGTCCACAACAGAGGAAAAAAATGGTTCCCCCAAGGCAACGGAAGAGGTTCAGCCTAACATCTCCTTCAATTAAGGCTGCAACCCAATAAAATAACTTTTTTTGTCATTGACTTATGTGGATTTTGATGAGACTGACCAATTTTCATCGGTTATAACTGTGCATGAGTACACACTATACAGCTGAAGAAAGCAGTATTTTCACTGAGTTTCAACTGTGCTCGCACAAATATTAATAAGTGCCATCTTTACAGTGGTATTCCTTTTATCTCCAAAATAAGAACAGAACACTTCTTAAGATACAGATAGTCCTCATTTAGCAACAGCCTCATACAGTGACTATTCAGTTACAAAAGTGATAAAAAGTAGTTTTATGATCAATTCTCACATTCATGACCTTTGCAGAAAAGGAAAGTTGAAGTAGTATTATAAGCACAGTTGTGTTTCATTTTGCAAGCCCTTCACTTAACAAATGAGTTGCTGGTCCCAGTTGTAGTTGCTAAGAAAAAAATACCTGTAGTGATATTTATATAAAACTGTTGCTCAATAATGAGGGATGTCTTTAAAAAAGTAAAGGCACCCAAATTTTACAGATTTCAAAAATACTTCAGTGCCAATGGAAGCTGCATTATTTGTATCATATATTGAATGAAAATCTCAGAAGTCAAGGAAACTACAGATAATTAGAACTGACATATCCTGAGATGACTAAGTGACTCATATGTTCAGAGTAGACTGGAACAGTCTCGGAAAAACCTCTCTTGAAATCACGATGTCTTGCTAGGAAAACAGTCCTTAGACCAGGGAATCCCAATCTTGGCAATGGGTGGACTTTAACTTTCAGAATTCCAGTATGGCTGGCTGGGGAATTCTGGGAGTTGAAGTCCATGTGCCTTAAATTTCCCAAGGTTGAGAACATGTGCCTTAGACAATCTTCTCTAGGGAGAAGGAATCCCTCACCTTCCCTCATTGGCCTCCAGCCCCTCCACCTCATTCATGGCTTCGCTGAGTTCATCTCTCAAGCGTTGGATTTCTACCAGGAGCTCCTGCTTCCGTCGCCGGATGTTCTCCAACTCTAGCCTCTCCTCTGGTGTCAGATCTGGAGGTACTGCAATGGAAGGAAGGAAGCAGACTGAAGAAAACATATTCCTCTTGGCACTTTGAACCATCAGAGAAAGCCAGAGGTGTCTTTTCCAATCATGCCTCCATTTCAGGAACTTGTGACAGTGTCACATAATCAGGAGACATACAGCCGCTGCTTAGCAATTGTTCAAAGTTCCAACAGACCTCCCCCCAAAAGGTACTTATAATTCAGTTCCAATGGCTGGTTCTCCCCCCCCCCCAGTCACATGATTCTGATTTATGATGTTTTGCTGAAAATCGGCATTTACTTCACATTTTCACAAAAAAAGTTGTAAAATTGGGCCAGTCGCATGATGACTGGTTTATGATTGTCACAACTTGAGACCGCAATGGGCAGGATCCATTGTGGTTGTAAATCTAGGACAACCAATATGTGTATTAAGTCCAACTTCCTACTCAGATAGTATCAACCCTTCAAGGTAGACCAGATCAGAAACAGATTCCACAGGGCTTCTTCAGTCATGGTTGACTGTGAAGAAGGAGTGTAGATTGGTTCTTCAAATCTCACTGAAAGAGAGCTTCAGAGTTTGGCCACAACAGCTCTTTATGAGAAGACCATAAAATAGTGGTCTCTCGTGGGTTTGAGCACCAGGAGCAAAAGAAATGACATCTCTGCTCTCAGTAGCAGCAGAATTTTTCCCAAAGACATTAAGCCAGTTGAACGCACTTTGGAATCACATTCAGAAATATTTCATGTCACCATTTCATGGATATTGGAGACCTTCAAAACAGCAGCCTTAATTTGACACCTGGTGAGTTTCACTTTCTTGTTTGGATTTAAGAAATTTTAAGCAGAGAATTTAAAATAATATACAATTGGCAAAAAGTAAAAAAAAATATTTAAGGAAGTTTTAAATGGATTGGGAGACCAGAGTGTTTATTTTTGCTATAAGATATGAAAAACTCTGTAAATATACTCATAGGAAATGACTTAAAGAAAACTAATGAATACTAGAGGGAGTTTGTTGTAAGCTGGCCAGAGTCACTTTGTGAGATGAGAGGCCATATAAATGTTAATAAATAAAAGTCCAGGCAGAAAATACTTTAAATGGGTAAGCCGGGTATAACCTTTTTTTATCTTAAAAGAGCTTTTTGAAGCATGAACTAAAATATTAATAACTAATACCTCAGAAAAGATGGATTTTAATGGAGAAACTTTTAGAAGAAGATGAGAAAAACTTTTTTTAAAAAAACTCTTCACTTGACATGCACATTATAGAGTTTGAAGGCATGGAAAATAAGAAAACTGATATTAACAAAGTGGGAATACCTAAGACAAATTTTTAAAAAGGATCTAGATCTGGAACAGCTGTGGCAAAAAATCCTGGACAATGCCTCTTTATGGGATTTTCAGAGCAGGCTAATGGAAGATTTGAAAACTCCATTTAAATATCAAAAAGTGATGATGAAATCCAATATGCCATAGGAATGATTTAAAGGTCAAGATTGCACAGAGCAAAAAAGGAATATAAAGTTGGACTATTTGACCAGGGATAAACTGCTTGTTTGATATTTCTATTAAGTCCTAATGGACTTTTTTTGTTGAACTTAGATTGAAAAGATGATGATTTCTTGATTGCATATTAATGTTAGGCTATAAGTTTTTGTTTTTATTTGTAACTTTAAAAGAGGATGAATAGTCAGTATATTAGCATATGCCTGATGTTACTTTTTAATTGTCTTTGTTGCCTTCTTTTTTTTCTTCTTCCTGCATCTTCTGAACTTTTATTTCCCTTTTTCTTCTAACTTGGTTTGTACTGATTTTTACTATGCTTATTAAAACCTTCAATTAAATTATTAACCAAAAAAGACACAGATTTCACAGGAGGTCTAAAACTACATTTTATTGAGATAAGCTGTAACAACAGAATATTGCTCTCCTCCCTCTGATGTTCCAGTGAAATCAGAGAAGCTTGCCCAGTCTCTTGCCAATATTATCTTGCTCCCCAGAGCTTAAAGGAATGTTTCAATCTTATTAGCTTATATAATAAGCTTGCCTGTATCCTTAAAGTTATCTCTTCAGCTTTCTGTTAGTGTTGTTCAATCTCAGCTACTTGAAGATGTGAGGAGTTTATCTCCCATAATTCCAGAATGGGGAGGTGAAGTCCACACATCTTATATGGTAGCTGCTAAGGTTGATAAATACTGGTCTATAACCCAATCCAAATGAAAGCATCCCTAAGAGGTGGTGGTTAAGCCACTGTATGAACACATGCACCAGTAGGAAGCCCCTTGCATTGGTTTCACTGTCCAATAACTCTTGGTATGAGGAATTTTTCCTAGCATTCAGTTGCATCTCTCTGCTTTGGGCTAGGCAAGTCCATGCACTGCCAATCTTCAATGTTGTATAAGTACTTATTCATCATCCATGTTGTTTACATCAAAGTCCTCCTTCCAGCTAGGACTTATGACCAACTTAAAACAATTCCAATCTTGTTTAGCAGATGCAAGTTTTAAAGTGGTTATTCAAGATTCATTTACAATGTGTGCGTAAGAGGAACCAAGCTGTCAAGAAACTGAAGTTCACAAGTCCAAATGTTGATCTCTGGACAGTGCCTTTGAGTCATTAACACTTACACAGTCTATTTCACCAGGTTGTTAAAAGCAGGAAATGAGATGAGGTATGCCATTCAAGAGATATAAAATAATAATAATAAAACCTATGCAAAAGCTACTTCCTCTAGGATGTCCAGCTTTCAGCTCAGAGGCGTACCCAGAACAAGAACTTATAATGAAGACAGCCTTGCATATGCACACATAGTCCTCTGAATAATTCTTATGTGTTTTATGTTTGTTTATTTGTAAAAACAATTGGGGGCAGGGCATAACATCCAAAATCTTTTTGAGTTACAAAAATTTTAATTCAGTTCCAAAGAGGAAATGGGGGTTAATAAATTTTATTGAAAATGTAAGGAACCCAGAGGCAATGAAAATCTGAAATATTCAAACACATAAATAATATAAATTTTATTTATTATTACATTTATATGCCACTCATCCCACAGTTCGAGCCAATTCTGGACAGGACACTTTAATAAAAATAATTATAACGAATTTATGCTAAGACCGTTTTTAACCAAGACTTTTTAAACCAACCCCTGGCAGCTCACAAACATTTAAATTAAATAATATTAATAAATACCTTGTAATATTGTTAGCAGGAGTAATGTTAAAAATAAACAGAATGAGAGTCTATGATGTATTGTACAGTACTGAGACAATTCTCTCCCCCTTCCCCTCGCAGCATGGTTGGATCCAATCACAAATTGCCCCTTCCCTCCAAGGAATGCACAGCTTCCCATTTAAATTATAACGGTGCTTTTTAGAGCCGCCTCATCAATTCCCTCAATAGGTTACCAATTCACCCATCTCTTTCGATAGCCCGCTTAAACAGACCCATCCCATTTTATCTAATTGGAAATCACAGACAATGGTACATTCCACCCTCCCTCCTGTCATGGTATAGCCTAAAAATCCTACCCGCCCTTGCCCAATTCATGTAATGGTATATCTTAGGGGATGGAATGCGTCGGATGCCTATCATTAAATTAATAAAATCCCGATTTCCCCCTTTCTTTACTATGGAATGGCCTAACCCGGCATTCCTCTTCTATTTTCGCATGGTTTACTCCAGCCTCACCCCTCTTTGTAAGGATCAGCCCCGCCCCCTACGCAACTGGTACTGAATGGCTCAGTCCACCCACTCTTTTTCTTATTGTAGTTATTGGGCGGGTCTCGTAATAGCACTATCTGCCCATTTATCTCCCCTCTTTAAGCTTCCCAATGGAAGAATCTTAGGGAACCTTACCATAGATACCGTCCTCCATGACGACCAGAGTGCCCCCAAACAGGGCCAAGGGGAACCCCAGTTTCTTCTTGTCTCCTTTCTTCGGGGCTTCAACGGCAATGCCCTCCTTCAGCAGCCGGGTTCTAACCTGAAAGGAACGTTCCACCTCCAACGAAAAGCGTAGCCAATAGGAAAGAAAAATCTCGAGAACAGTCACCTAACAGCTAGGAGAAGGAGCCAATAGAAAGGAAGTTCTTGTAAATTACATGTACACTCGTAGCAACCAATACGCATCCTCGGCATGATATTGACAGGAGAGTTATTCAATGAAATCTTACACTTTTTTGTGGCCTTGTACTCGACTTACTTTGAGCCGGTCCATCCTGGGCACGTTTCAACGAAGATATAGGAATTATGTAGAGTCATTATAGCCTTTATTCAATTGATTGTGAAAGGATATTTCTTTTCTCTGATGCCCAAAAGAGGACTCAGAGATTTCGGTCCAAACAGCAGCAATTCCTACTTTTTGCTCCTGAATTTCATTTCCAGTTATTCTAACTTGCAGTTTTCATAAATGGGCGGGTTTTGTCTCTGTCCCAGCAAAGACGTGATATTCATCTAGAGGTCGACCTCTTTGGTACGTTTATGCACTCCGAACGTCTACACGAGTCCTATCCTCATTGCATAACTGTCAATCGAGATGAGTGAAGCGTAAGCAACCCAATCGAGACTGGCTACTATATATGGGCTGCAAAAATTTAAAAAAAAAAAAATCCTGCTCATCAGGAGATGCGGCAGAGGATTTTTCAGCCTGAGCAACTGAGACGGGTGCGCTTCAGCTCCCAGAATATGCTGGGTAGGGAATTCTGGGAGTTGAAGTCCACAAGTCTTTAAGTTGCTCAGGCTGAAAAACATTGAGTCTTGTGCTGTCACTTTGCTGCCATCCTGTGGTTAGCTGGAGTTTTGCAGCCCAAATTCCATAGGCCTGCCGGAATCATAGGGCTCATGTCTCACCAGGGAACTACTTTTAGATGCCACACCAGTTGAGACTTTTCCCTTTATCTCATCCCCATCCTGCAGCTGAGATGCCTTAAATCACTTTTAGCTATTCTGGTGTTAAAAATCATGCTTCTTCTTTTCTCTTGACACAAGGCTTGCTGTGGACACTATCAAGCACAAGTCATCACTTGGAAACCGAGGTTGAGTGCTAATACTAGAACTGAACCCAAAGCACAAAGATGAGTTTCAACTGGAAGAGAGAGACAGGCACCACCAGCTAAGGCTGATTTTATCCCCAAGGAGTTCACTACAGGTACTGTAGTCCAGCGCTTTTTAACCTTTTCACAGATTGTACCACTTTTAGGACATGATAATATTCGAGTACCACCAGTGCTTAGCAAGGTGTCAAAAACCTGATGACTTTTCTTTCTCCCTTTCCTCTGTCTCTCTTTCACAGCCTCTAGTCTACGCCTTCGTTGATCCCTCTACTTCTCTCACAGAAGCCAATCTTCTCCCTCTCTCTTTCTCCGTCCCCTTCTCTTTCCCTGTTGTCTTTTTTCTCTCTCCCTCTCTTGCCAAAATCTCCTCCTTTTATATCCTCTCCTCTCCTCCCCCTTCTTCCTTTTCTCTTCCAGATGTGCCACTCTCTGGGGCTCAGGAGAGCTCCAGTGTCGGTCGCTACCCCGGTCTCAATCCCCCATGCAGTCACCCACTCCCCAACTGGCCATTGCATACAATACTGATCAGCTGGAGCTGCACGCACTGATCCTGGGGCCTCTACCGAGCTCTGGCAGCCCTGCAGCTCCAGCTGACTCTCTCACCCCAAGGCTTGTCTGCTACTCCCAATGGTAGCAGAGGCTGCTGGAAGTGCAGATCAGCTGGAGCTGCAGGTGTCAATCCTGGGCCCTCAGCAGAGCCCCAGGCCTGTGCGGCGCTACCGCCACTTCAGCACTTCAGCACTGCCACCATTTCAGCTCATCCCCCAATATGTCTAGGTCTCATATCACCTCCCAGGTGCCGAGGTACCACCAACGGTATGCGTACTGCTGGTTGAAAAGCCCTGCTGTAGTCCTCCTTCAGTGACCATTTGTTCAGCGATCGTTTGAAATTATGATAATGTGGAGACTTGAAACTGTTCCTTGAAAATGTGGCCTTCGCAGCATCCTGGCTGTTGAGTCCTTGGCGAAAAGCAGACACGAGAAGCAGTTGTAGTTCTCAGTTTTCTTTATTCAGTGTTCAGCTCACAAGTAGATGGCTTCGGCAGCTCCCAAAACCTCCCAGCTTCTTATATAGACATTTCCCGGGTAAATGCGATACTTTTCCCGCGCCAGCACCCGCGCATGCGCACGGCGCTGGCGACAGCCTGTCTGGTCCCGGGCAGCTTTGCACCTGCCCGGGACTGCCTGCAAACGCCCCGAGCCGTTTGCAAGGCTCGGGACATAACACCCCTTTCCCCCGGGCTAAAACTACTACCAACATATAATCATTTATTTTATGCAGTGTTCTGCTTCTCAGTGCTCCTATCGTTACCTGGCTTTTGTTTAGCCAGCAATGTTATGTAATCTTCTAAGTATTTAGGAGATTTCCTTGCTCTCTGTGACCTTCTCAGCTCTGGGTTTCTGACAGGTGTTCCCTGACTGAGGGGTGACAAGAGCCTGTTCCCCTTATCATGCCTTGGTGCCTTCCAAGGACTTTGCCCCAATGCCTGGCCTGCTCGCTCGCCCACCGGGCTCGTCAGGCCAGGGCTTCTGTCACCTTGTGACCTGGTTGACCTGCCTAGCTGTAGGCCCTCGGGCCCCTTGAAGTGATAGCCACTGCTGGGCGTCTCTATAGAACCTCCTAGGTCCGTCCGAGACCTGTCAGGAGGCTGTCCCATCCCTAAGCCCCGTTCTGTGTCCGGGCTCGTGTGGGTCTCTGTACCTTCCCAAAACTCAGTTACTTCCTGATTTGGGCTAGAGGTGTTGCGGTCGGGACTTGGTTCCTCGACCACCTCCCTGTAAGTTTGACCCCCTGTAGGATTAGGGGTAAGGTCAGGCCAACTCTGGGGATTGTGTGCCAGCTCTCTTGCGGGGAATGATTTGTTGGGATGCTCCCGGGTATCCTCCGTGACTGGAGTGTTGTGTGATGTGTGTGGAAAGTGAGTATGCCCCCGGGGCGACTCCCTGGCTGGAGTAGGCGTGAGTGCCTGTTGTGTGGGTAAGCTCCATGAATTCCTTTTCGGAGCACTTGCGGAAGCTTGAAATGGGCCGTCAGTGGCTCCATCAGTGGAGATGGGCAGCAGCTCGTGCCCTTCCCTTTGCTCCAAAGGGTCCCCCTCCCCCCCTGGAAAAGACCCAGGAGTCTCAGCTGGAAGATGCCGCCTAGGGCGGAGTTGGTCGATGTGCCTGCGCAGGACACGACCGTTGTCCAGGGCTACCTCGTAGGATAGAGGACCCGTGACCCTGGAAACAGAAGCGGGGACCCATGTATGACCAGGCCCGTAATTGCGAGTCCAGACCGGGGCACCCTCAAGTAGTTGTCTAGGTGCCCTAGGATGTGAGGTAGATGAAGGCAATCTGTCCGGATGCAACCGGTCAAGTTTAGTAGTAAGTTGACGCCCCCAACGAAGTTCAGCTGGGCTTCTCCCTGTAGAAGTGGACGGTGTGGTGCGATAAGAAAGGAGAAAGTCAGCCAACCTGTGATGCCAGTCCCCATAGGTGAGTCTTTTCAAGGCGTCCTTTGTGATGCGCACCATACGTTCAGCCATACCGTTGGTGGACGGGTGGAAGGGTGCAGACGTGGCATGACGAATCATGTTAGCCTGTAAGAAAGCTTGGAATTCGGAGGAAGTGAATTGAGGGCCGTTGTCAGAAACAATGACATCTGGAAGCCCGTGTGCAGCAAAAATCCCCCTCAGTACCTGAATAGTCTTTGCAGTGGTGGTGGATGAGACAGGTACAACCTCAAGCCATTTTGAATGGCTGTCAACAAGGACCAAGAAGAACTGGCCCTGAAAGGGCCCAGCGTAGTCAATGTGCACCCTAGACCATGGGGACTGTGTTTCCTCCCATCTATGCACGGGAGCGTGGGGCATCTCTGGGCGAGATCGTTGGCACAGGTGGCATGCATGCACCTTAGCCTCAATATCTTTATCTAAACCAGGCCACCACAAGTGGCTGCGTGCAAGAGCCTTCATACGAACAATGCCAGGATGACCCTCGTGGAGGGATTCTAAGACCCTAGTCCTCATTGAGGTGGGAATGACAACTCTGTTTCCCCAAAGCAGACAACCCTGAGAAAGGGACAGCTCGTTCCTTTTGGACCAGAAACTCTGAAACTCAGGACTAGGGCAGTGCTCAGGCCAACCAGACAAAACCCAGGAACGGACACGTGAAAGTGTGTGATCTGTACCTGTTTCAGCGGCAACATCCCTGGCACTAAGAGGGAGCTCGGGCAAGGCTTGGATTGATAGAATGTTGACAGCTGGCGCAGGGTCAGCTTCTACTACTGGCAGAGGCAATCTACTGAGGCCATCAGCATGGCCCATTTCTTTCCCAGGCTTGTGGAGTAAAGAAAAATCATATGCAGACAAAAAAATAGACCACCTAAGCATTCTAGGGGAAATGATTTGGGGAGTCTGTTACGTGTGGTAAACAGTCCCAGCAGAGGCTTATGGTCAGTGAAGACCGTGAAATGCCTGCCATATAGAAAATCATGGAATTTTTTAATTCCAGCAACAACAGCCAGAGCCTCCCTGTCTATCTGAGTGTAGTTGCGCTCAGCAGAAGACAATGTTCTGGAGTAATATGCAACAGGAACCTGAGTTCCATCAGACCTGAGGTGGCTCAGGACAGCTCCTACCCCGTAAGGGGACGCATCACAAGCGATGCACACAGGAAGGGACTCGTTGAAATGTGCAAGTACACTGTTAGAAGTGAGCAAGGCCTTGACTTTGTTAAAACAAGCCTCATGTTTTGTGACCACTGCCACACTGCTTGCTTGTCTAGTAGCCTGTGAAGAGGCTCAGCCACACTGGCTTTATGTGGAAGGAAGGAATTGTAGAAATTCAGGAGGCCCAGGAAGGCCTGAAGTTCGGCCTTAGACTTTGGCCTAGGTGCTTCTAGCAGTTAGTTTGGATTCAGCAGGGTGAATCCCAGCAGCATCAATTTTGAACCCCAGAAATTCAGTAGAAGGCACCCC